TATCTATCAAAACAAGCGTAAGAGGGCTCCGAAAGGTGGAGAGTCTCGTAGCAGAATACCCAAGATGACACGGTGGTGACTTGCTTGAGCTTTTCTCTTGGCCTCATAGATCCTAGACTTGGAGCTAAAGAAGCCGGCAACCCAAAATGCCAATAGGCACAGGCAGACCCCAAAAGCCCAAACAGAAGCCTGCCCTTCGTAGCCGAAGGACCAGGAAAGGGGCATCGTCACAAGACAGGAAATGTAGACAATAGCTGCTCTACTCCAGGCAAATGCCCCAGAAAATACTCCACCGCACCCATGCCAGCAAAGGCCAAGTGAGGGGCTGAGACTCCACCCTCCTCAGGAGGGTGGACCAGACACCCTGTGAGCACCCAGAACTCCCACCCCTGCCAGCAGTGAAGAGGACCCCCTTGGGGTGTCAGAGAAAGCCCAGGGAGAGCCTGACCTCCACTCCCCTCCTGGCGGCCCTGGGGCGGGATGGCCCTTTCCACTATCAGAGCAACGTCAGAGGAGACCAGATGAAAGGTTTGATCAAGTCCAGAGTCTCGTAGCAGAAATACCCAAGATGTCCAGGTTTCAACCGACAACCTCTTGTCATACCCAGAAAAATCTCCGCTGAATGAAAGGAGACAATACACATCAATACTGAGATGACAGAAATGTTAGAATCACCTAAGATTTTAAGGCAGCCAACATACTAGTCAAAATGCTGCAAAGCACAATTAGGAACACACTCGAAACAAAGTGAAAAATAGATCTTGGCAAAGAAATAGAAGATATAACAAATAACCAAATGAAAACTTAATAGTCAAATTAAAGCAATGGATAGGCTCAACAGCAGCACAGAGGGAACACAGGGAAGAGCTGGTGCCCTGGAAGGCAGAGCAATGGGAACGATCCAGGCTGAGCCACCGAGAGAAAATGGACTGAAAAAGAACAAACTGTCCTTGGAGCCCAGAAAGGAGACGCGAAAAAGGGTGGGGCTGAAAGGTATCCAACGAGGCAGTGCCTGGGAACTTCTCCTGCATTGCTGATGGGCGTGTCAAATGGTACAGCCTCTCTGGGAAACAGTTCAGCTTTGTCGTAAAAAACTAAATACGCAGCTACCCTAGGGCCCAGCAGTGGTGCTCCCAGGCACCATTTTATCCCAGAGAAATAAAAACTATGTCCACCCAAAAACCTGTACACAAGTGTTCCTAGCAGCTTTGTGCATAATAGCCAATAACCGGAAACAGCCAGATGTCCTTCCATGGGTAAATGGTTAAACTCACTGGTCCATCCACACTATGGAATACTAGTCACCAGTGAAAAGGAATGAACTGTTGACGCACACAGCCACGTGGATGAATCTCCAGGAATAATTCTGAGGGGACGAAGTCAACCCCAATGGACTTTTGATTCCATTTATGTAACATTCTGGAGATGACAACATTGTAGAAATGGACACTAGATTAGTTGTTCCCAGGGGCGAAGGAGGAGTGGTGGGAGGGAAGCAGGTGTGACTATTAAAGGGGGATATGAAGGATCTTTGTGGTGATGGAAATGTGCTGTACCTTGGCTGTATCCATGTCAAAAAATCCCGTACTATAGTTTTGCACGATGTTACCACGGAAAGAAACTGGGTAGGGGATACAAAAGATCTCTCTGCCATATTCCCTACAACGGCGTGGGAAATCTATAATTACCTCACAATAAAAAGTTTAGAAAAATAAATGCATGTTTGTTTCGAAAGCCACTGTTAAACATTTTGGCGTGTATCCTTCCAGATTTTTCTATGCGTATAAATACTTGCCTTTAAAAAATACAGCCTTGTGCTGCACACATTACAGCACGTGCTTTCTTCCAGCAACAAGAGTGAACTCCACCACGTTCTTAATTGCTCCACATTGTTTTTTGCTGCTACAAGCATGGCCGTCAGGAGCATCCTTGTACCTGCATCCCTATGCACGTCCTGGATTATTTCCTTTGTAAATTGCCGCCAGTGGAATTGACAGTGCGAGGCCCGGCGGTTTGCATGTCACCTAGAGGCTTTTGTAACCAACTGTCACATTTCCATCCGGAGCCATACGGATGTCTGCTTCCAATACAGCAGTCCCCCTTACCCACGGTCTCCCCTTCCACAGTTTCAGTTACCCGGGGTCAACCTTGGTCTGAAAATATAGATGGAAAATTCCAGAAATAAACGATTCATACGTTTTAAGTTGCACACCATTCTGAGTAGCGTGATGAAATCTCGCACCATCCCACCACTCCGTCCTGCCCTGGACATGAATCGCCCCTTTGTTCAGTGTCTCCACGCCGTGGGTGCCCCCCACCACCACTGAGTCACTGAGTAGCCACCTCGGTTATCAGATCGACTGGCACGGTATCTCTGAGCTTGTGTTCAGGCGACCCTTATTTTACTTAACAATGGCCCCAAAGTGCAAGAGCCGTGCTGCTGGCCATTGGGATATGCCACAGAGAAGCCGGGAAGTGCTTCCTGTAAGAGAAAATGTTGCATGTAATGAGGGGAAAGCCACACAGTGTATAGAGGGTTCAGGCAGCCCCTGGAGGTCTTGGCATATCTCCCCTGCGGATAAGGGGGGACTACTGTACACCGTGTATTACAGGTTATCATTTGTGTGGAAACAAAATGAACGCCATACACCTGTCCCTTACTTAACAACTAATTTTCCCTGAAAACCCTGCCACTTAGAGAAAGCTTTTTTTTTTTTAAATGTTATCAAAAATATATTTTTTTAATTCATTTTAATGAGAAAATGGTGTTTAACCCCAGCCCAAGGTACCCCTAAATTTTCACAGAGACAAAATTATCAGATGAACATTCCAGTTGAGTTTATCTCAGTGATAATGATTTGAAAGAGAATAAATAGAATCCGTTCGTAAAATGCAATGCTCGGAAGGTCACTGAGGACGGTGTGGGCCTCGTTTTTTAGAAGGTAACGTCTTTCTGACTTTACAGCTTTTGAGAGACTCATGGTTATCTTGTTCTCCAGCAGCACTCACATGAAGCCATGGCACAGAATGAGAAGGAGCACAGGGCTTCCGGGGACGGAAGATCCCTGTGCACAAGACTGAGAGATCACTGAAATGCACCCCCCACTCGCTTGCCTTCAGTCCACAAATCAAAAATTTGGTTTGCCCCATGGCACACTCCTCACATTTGTCCCCTATGGTACGCTCTGATTAGGAAGTGTTGTGTCAAGTAAATCGGTGAGCCTGTCTTTGCATAAGACCATTATGCTAAATATCACTTCTATGTTCGTCAGCTTGGGTTGCCATAACAATATACCACAGTCTGGGTGGCTAAACAACAGGGATTTATTTTCTCACAGTTCCGGGGGCTGGAGCTCCAAGATCAAGGTGTCGGCAGGTTTGGTTTCCTCTGAGGCCTCTCTCCTTGGCTTTCAGATGGCCACCTTCTCGCTGTGTCCTCGTGGTCATTCTGTGCATGAGCACGTCTGTCCTAATCTCTTAGGAAGACAACAGCCATGCCCTGGCCGGGTCACTCAGTTGGTTGGAGCAGCATTCCTATCAGGTTGCGGGTTCAGTCCTCGGTTAGAGTACATACAGGAATAACTAATGAATGCATAAATAAGTGGAACAGCACAGCAACCACCAGCTGGGCAGTGCCAAACACAACGGGGACCATCAGAAGTCCTACCAGGGGGGCTCAGCGCCCCACCCCCCCCTCTCAAATCAATAAGTAAAAATTCTAAAAATAAAGACAATAGTCACATTGGATTGGGCTCCATCCTAACAGCCTCATTTTAACTGAATCACCTTTAGAAAAGGCCATATCTTCACATACAGTCACTTTCTGAGGTTCTGGGGGTTGGGGCTTTGACACATGAATTGAGGTGGGAGGAGCACAATTCAGCTTATAACAACTGTTGATAGCATACTAGAGGCCCGATGCACAAAGATTTGTGCAAGAATGGGCCTTCCTTCCCCTGGCTTCCAGCACCGCCTTCGCTCTGGCCAGAGTCTCCTTTCCACCTTCCCACGCTGCCCAGAGGCCCGGAGCGGGCTGGGGTGGTGCGGAACACCTGCATCGTCACCATGGTGACAACACAAGCATCCCGCCCCGTCCCTGGCCGCTCGGCACCTGCGTATGCAAATTAACCTGCCATCTTTATTGAGTTAATTTGCATACTCCTGATTGGCTGGTGGGTGTCGCAATGGTACGGTCAGTTTGCATCTTTCTCTTTTATTAGTGTAGATTTTGTTACTGGGTTTGGGGGTAAAAATGTCAGTGTATCAGAAAGAAAGTTGTTTAACAAATGATACAGCTTTTCAAGAGTCATTATGGTAAGCAGTCATTACCAGGAGCCCTGCCAGCGTGGCTCAGTTGGTTGAGCAGCATCGTCCTGTGAACTGAAAGGTTGCTAGTTCCACTCCCTGTCAGGGCACATACCTGGGTTGCGGGTTTGAACCCCTGTAACCAATGGATGTTTCTCTCTCACATTGATGTTTTTCTCTCTTTCTCTTTCTCCCTTCCTCTCTCTCAGCATGTCCTTGGTTGAGGGTTGTTTTTTTTAAGTCATTAACAGGATAGTTGTTATCAGATGCAGGTCTGTGTGTATATTTTTGCCAGGACATGTATCGAATACGTTTGGAAGATTCACAAAATGATAACAGTCGCTTCAAGAGGACACCGAGTGGCTGCAGACAGTTAGGAGGGCTCACTGCACAGCTATTGTATCGTTTTAATTGTATTCCCCGCACATGTGCTAATGCACATTCTACCAGGGGAATAAATACTTATTTTAGCCAAGGATTGACTTAACTCCTCTGTGATCTCAGGGACTTGTCATCTCGTTCCCTGCTGTATCCCCAGGCCCTGTCACGGAGCCTGGCACACAGGAGGCACCCAGCAGGGGTGTTGAAAGAATGACTAAATGAGCAACTCGGTAAATTCCTCTCTTACTGTTTGGACGCAGGGCCCCTGCACAGCCCACCCAGTGACCCTCTCTGTCTTTCCCTGTGGTTCGCAGACGGCAGCAGAGACCTCCAGGAGGGAGCAAGCCCCAGCAGCATGGCGACCACCAGCCAGGCAGTGCGAAACACAACAGGGACCATCAGAAGTCCTACCAGGGGGGCTCGGCGCCCCACCCCTCAGGGAGGCCCACCCATCACGGCTACAGCCAGAACCGGCGCTGGCACCATGGCAACATGAAGCACCCACCCAGCGACAAGGGAGAGGCAGGCACCCACCGCAGCGCTAAAGAGACCGTACCCATGGGCAGCCCCAAGCTCGAGGACGCCCTGGGGGACACCGGGCACAGTGGCCTCGAGCCCCCCTGCAGCCCCGATGGCCCGGCCCCAGCGGCTTCTGAGAGGCTACCCCCGCAGCAGCCGGGAGCCCCGGAGGCCGAGGCAAAGCGTAAAGACAGTGTTACCCCCGAGCGCATCGGGGAGCGGCCCAAAATTACCCTGCTCCAGTCTTCCAAAGACAGGCTGCGGCGGAGGCTGAAGGAAAAGGGACCGGTAATTGCATTTTCATTGTTCTCTTCCACCAGGGAGGACGCGTGAGGTAGGCACGTTGGCAGGTGGGCTCGGGTTTGAGGGCCTGGGGCGCCCTGTGGAGAGAAGCGGGAGCCGCCACTACCTTGGGGACTCCTGGCACCTGCATGAACCCCTCCAGCACATTCTGGCCCCTCAAGTGGGCACGGGGTACCACCCCTCAGCCGAAGAGGCGAGGGGCGGGGAGGAAGAGGCCGTGCCTGGGGGCGATGGGAGGTGCGGGAGTGACGGCCACTTCCCAAGCCACACACAGGAAGCAGAGAGCAGGTTCCGGAACCTCCGTCCGTGACCCGGCCCAGAGCTCTCCTTGTTGAGAACAGAGGGGCCAGTGCAGACCTTCCTTCTGCCCTTGATCCTGCCCCTCACCTGCCCTCACACCCCCGCAGTTAAGTCCCTCACACTCCCGGCCACCAGCCTGTGGTGTTTGAGTAAGTACTTTTGCAACTGTCAGGTGCCATTCTCCCTCCTCCCACCTGCCTCTGGGGCCGTGGCATTGAAACCTCAGGAGGGTGTAGGCTTCTGCCTGAGATTCTCCTCCTAGAAGTGCCCCTCGTTTTGGTGACACGTAGGAGGACTCCTTGGTGTGTAGTGTTTGTGGGTAGAAGGCCAGCCGTCGCCATAGGACACAAAGCTGTGGCCATGGCCGTGTCCACAGGGAACCCTACGCCCAGAGAACACAACCACCATGGGCTCTAGGAGCCTAGAGCTACTCCGTGGGCGCGTCTGACCAGCGTAGCAAGCATTCTGGATGCCACCTTCCTTCCCGACCTAGTCTTCCTGCCCTCGTTTTCTCTTTGGCCCAATTTTTTTTTTTAAATATACTTTATTGATTTTTTACAGAGAGAAAGGGAAAGGGATAGAGAGTGAGAAACATCGATCAGCTGCCTCCTGCACACTCCCCACTGGGGATGTGCCTGCAACCAAGGTACATGCCCTTGACCGGAATCGAACCTGGGACCCTTCAGTCCGAAGGCCGATACTCTATCCACTGAGCCAAACCGGACAGGGCTTTGGCCCAGTTTTTTATTTGTTATCGTATTGCATCTTCTGTGAGCCCTATTAAACCATTTCTGGAATGAGACCTTTGATGGGCACGTAGGCAAACAGAACCCATAAATGTGAGAATCCTGGGTGAGAGATGGGGCTCGCTAGAAGGGATGTCGCAGGGGCCAGGGACAAGGGCAGCAGAGAGCATGGGGCTGAGGGTCCTTGGTGCCGGTCAGCATTCTTGGGGGGAACCAGACGGGGTTCTAGAAGGTAGGACTGGGTCCTTTCTGGGGGTGGCACACTTCCCATACGGGCCACTCCCCCAACACACACACACACACACACACACATACACACAGAACCTCGGCTCCACTCAGGCCACCTCGGTTTGTCTCCCTGCCCCCAGGACGAGGTGGCCGTGGAGCCCCCCACCCCGCAGCAGAACAAGATGGACAAGCTGATTGAGATCCTGAACAGCATGCGCAACAACAGCAGCGACGTGGACGCCAAGCTCAGCACCTTCATGGAGGAGGCGCAGAACTCGACCAACTCGGAGGAGATGCTGGGCGAGATCGTGCGCACCATCTACCAGAAGGCCGTGTCCGACCGCAGCTTCGCCTTCACGGCCGCCAAGCTCTGCGACAAGATGGCGCTCTTCATGGTGGAGGGGACCAAGTTCCGCAGCCTGCTGCTCAACATGCTCCAGGTAACCGACACCGGCAGCTGCGTCCGGCCGCCGCCCCCCCTCCCTGCCCCTGGGGTTATTACTAGAGAGAAGGCTGCAAATTCTGACCACGGTTGAACTTTTCCCAGGTCCCACCCTTGCCTGATTAATTATAGAAAATAAGAAGGCACTCAAGGGGCAAGGGCTGAGTGGCCGGATTTACGTGTGTTTGTGTGAGGGCTCCATGGTGACGGCGGCCCAGTATACTTTTATAGGTGCGTCATGTTTAACCGGCCTCTGCCTCTTTCTATTTCCATGATAAGAGGGCTGGCTCGCGGTCTGAGCCAGCCTGTGCTTTGACCTCTCCACGTCTGAGTAGACACGACCTTGCGGCGGACTCCTCTCTCTTCTGGCTCCCCCTCTCCAGGACCAGCCCCCCGGCCCCCACCCCTGGAGGTGGTGCCCTTGGTTGTAGCTGGTGCTTAGATGGGTCTGAGCAGAAGGTACAAGGGCCTTGGGCAGGGAAGGTCTGGCCTGTCTGCTGATGCTCTGAGCTTCCTGAAACCCTCATGAGGAAGAGGGGAGCGTGGTGATTTCATAGTCTTGTTCCTTGATGCTCTCCCAGTCAAAACCCTCCGCCCCCGGGAGCTTCGTCCGGCTCCTCGGTCTTTCCTCCACGGCGGCAGAGCCCCGCGATGGTTTCACTGGGGTGAGTGTGTAGTAGGCGCGAGCGTGGGCACTTAGACTGAGCCCAGCACAGTTTCATCTCGAGTGCGGAGCTGGGGGGCTGATGCCAGCTCGTCTATCAGAGGTGGTCGTAGGTGAACTGGTGGCGTCAGGGATAGGTAGCAGGTAGCAGGGCATGGTGGCCACACTAGGCCCCGGGACTATCCAGACACCAAGTGTGAACTAGGACAGATGGCCACCTGGTCTCCACCACCTGGTCCACGGTCTGCTGTCTTCCCCCTACGAACGGGGAGGCAGGAGCCCTCTCCACGCACGGCCCAGAGGGCTCCATCCCGTGGTCCTCTCCTCTTCCCAAGGAGCCCGCTCACTGCAACCTGAGCCCTCGCTGGCCGGCCTGGGCTGCGTCTCCAGCTCCGGGCCCCGATCGGGTTCCCATTCCTGGATCGCCCACGCTCCCCTGGTGACGAATTCCCGCATTACCTGAGGGATTTGCACATTGGACATGTTCCTTGCGGGCCGGAATGTCCCGGGAGCGTGTGGGGGGTGGCAGCGGGGAGCCGCCTGTCTGCCACGTACCACCAGGCACAGGGAGTCCAGGATGGGATCGGCCTGTGGCCTGTGGCCTTGGCCTTTGTCCTTTCTTGAGAAGGGCCAGGAGAGGGCAAGGTTTCTGGACAGTGGCGACCAGATCCTGGTAACCTCGCCAAAGCCAGTGACGGACAGACATATAGGGCATGAGATGATGCACCTGACCACGCACCCCCTGACCAGGGGACCCCCCAAGATCCTGCCCAGGTCAGGCATTTCTTCCAAGGACCCCTGGTTAGAGCGGCCTCGCCCACAGCGTCCCGCATGGCGTCAATCCTGCGAGTGCTCACCCACTAAAGGGGCTCCGTGGCCCGACACGGGCCTTTCCATTAGTCCAAAAGCGGACTGGCCCGCGACAGAGGAAGGGAACCTGTTAGGCTGCACTGAGCTCAGCGGAGTCCTCTCCACAGCCCCCCGCTAATGACTTCTCGCGGATCTGCTGTGCTGAGAGACACCGGCTGGCAAACGCCAGGACAGAGAGAGAGGACTAAACTGAAAGCTGAGAAACGGGGCTTCTCGGCCGGGTTCACACTGTCAGCCGGAGCTTGGCTCTGCGCTGTCCCTGGGCCAGTGCTCAGGAGCTTGGCACTCGGCAGCGGCCTCAGGATTCTGTGCTGCTGGAGATGACTCGGGCTGGGGAGGGCGCGAGGGGCCACATGGCCTCTTCCTTCCTCACTCTCCCACGGCCTGGCCCTGGCATGAAGCAGTCCTGGGTCCCCCTGGTCCTCGGAAACCGGCCCACCCCATATCGTGGCTCAAGGTGTGCCAACCCCACTGAGGCCACCTTGTCTCTGGGCAGAGGAGAGCTCTCCCTCCCACGGCGTTTGCCTGCCTGGAGCACTTGTGGGTCAGGTATTTAGAAATGGAAACATCCTCCCCCTCTTCACCACCTCCAACCCCAGCTTTCATGTACGCTGAGGAGGGAGCCCCTCGGAGGGCATAACCAGGGGCATGAGCCGGGCACTTGGACCTCCTGAGTCGCCGTTCAAGGCCCTTTGGGCTCCTGTGGAAGGCAGGCTGGATGTGCTGGCGTGAGGTTACCCCAGCTCCTTACAGACGCCCCAAACCCCGCTTACCAGGCCCCCAGGAAGCCACCACCCATGTCTGGCTGGGCCTCTGTGGGCCCTGCCGCTCCTCTCCGCAGCTCAGGAAGTGGCCGGTGAGTGTAGGCTTCCAGGCAGCATAACTCCTGGCCACACACCACCCCGGGTACAGAGTACAAGAAGAGAGAGCATGGCTCATCCAGCCCCCTTCCCCTCCTTAACACCCACAGGGATGTCTCTTTTCACCAGCTTTCATTTTCTGGTGAATCTGACTTATATCCCTTTGCTGGCAGCCCTGGGCCCAGCCCCAGAGCCCTTCCCTCCCCTTCCTCCCTCTGAGGTTCACACTCAGCTTCTTCCACGCCAGGCCACGGCCACTGGGTCCCCAGCCAGCCCCCAGTTCAGTTTGGTGGCCTCTGAGACGCCCCTCATGGGGCCAGGTTTGGCTGCTGCCACCACGTCCAAGTTCTGAGACCCAGCTTAGTGCTTGGCGCTGGCTGCGAAGGGCCCAGGGTGTGAAGTGCCCGCGGAGCACAGCTCCCAGCAGCTGGCTTTGGATGTTGCCCTCCTTGGCCAACCGCGTTTGCCGCCTGGGCTTCAGCAGTGGGAGCTGGCAGCACGGGAGGGCGGGGCAGGCTCTGATAGAGTGGACACTTGGCAGGCGTGTGAGGGCTGCCTGCCAGGCTGGGGTGCAGCCCCTGTGGAGAGGGAAATGGGGCGGGGGGAGGTCACAGGACCTTTAGTCCTTCCCAGCCAGACTCAGCTTTGGCATCTGAAGGAAGCCAGAGGCACTGCCCTCATGAGCTAGGGTGATGCCAGAGACCCACCCTGGGGTCTCCGTGGACCCCTGTCACCAGTCCCACCGCGCAAAGTTGTTACATCTAAGCCGAGTCTTTTTGCCTGACGTGTGGTTCTTCTCTTGGTGGTGTTCTTATAAAATTCTACCTCATACACCGACATTTCTTAAATGTCCGTCATGTGTCAATCAGGCGTGTCCGTTAGATCAGTGTCTCACCTTGAATGTGAGTGTGAATCACATGGGATTTTACTGAGATGCAGATTCTGATCCGGTGGGCCTGGTGGACCTGAGCGTCTCATCCAGCGCTGCTGGCCGGTGACGGGCCACTGGGCGACCGTAGGTGATGGCTCAGTGTCGCAGACGGGCCGACCGAGGCACAGGTGTTGTCAGTGCGATTGTGGGGAGTGGGATCCAGCCTGGGAGTGCCGGGTTTTCCTTAGGCCCGTGGTTCAGCCTGGCTGTCCATTACACTCGCGTGGGAAGGAGCTTTCAAAACATGAGGGAGGGGCCCTCCCCCAGACCACCGATTACACTCCCAGGACGGGGCCTGGGCCTCCTTTCTGTTGCTGTTGTTAATCCTCACCCGAGGATATTGTCCCCATTGCTTTGTAGAGAGAGAGTGGAAAAGGGAGGGAGGGGGAGAGAGAGAGAAACATCGACGTAAGAGAGATACATCAATTGGTTGCCTCCTGCACGCATCCCAACTAGGCTGGGGGTCAAACCTGTAACCCAGCTACGTGCCCCTGACTGGGATTTGAACCCACGACCCTTCGGGACGCGGGCCGACGCTCTAACTACTAAGCAACACTGGCCAGGACATGGGCATCCTGTTTTAAAGAACTCCCCAGGTGAATCTATGGTGCGACAGGTTGAGCACCACTATCAGGAAGATACCCCAGCGACGCCCTGACTGTGCACCGTTGTCACTTGTGAGCCCGCTGGTCCTGCCTGTCTCCCCATAAGTGAGTCAATACATGGGTGCCAGGGACTGGACTCGCCGCTGAGCGAGGTGGGTGAGCTGGGAGGAGAACGCCGAAGGGGGAGACATCAGCAGCTGAACCTCCCCTTCACTCTGCCCGTCCTCGGTTTACCCTCCGTGCAATGAGGAAGCCGGTCTGGACCATCCCAGGGCTCCTTTTTCGTGCTCCTCCCCATCGTTCTGAGGTTCCGAGTGAACCAGGCGGAGCCCCCAGCTGCCTCTCCTCTCCCAGTGACCCCATTTCTCTCTGTCCTCAGCTCCTCTCCCCCGTCCTGTTCCTTTTTCTTGGCCTCAGATATTTGTGAGAGCAGCTATCACATGTGGTAGGAAAAGGGCCTCACTCTCCACCCACATTCCCAGGCTGTGCCAGGGGCCAGGCCACCCAGGGGAAGCCGGGGAGTGATCCCCTTCGCTGCCCAGCCCGCCTCTCCCCACCCTTCCCGCCCGGCTCCCGGCTTCTTCATATTTGTGAAGTCCCACACCCACCGGAGTACGTGGCTTGGTGATTTCTGACTTCCTGGAGAGTGTGGGCTGCCCAGGGCCCCTGGGTGACAGAAACCACCAAAACTCTGCCTGGATCCTCACCAGGGAATTGCGCGATAATGGGGCCGGGGCTCCAGTTTCACGGGGAGGGGAAGAATGAGCGTGCCTCTTTTTATGGGACATTCGGAATGACAGGAATTAGAGGCCCGAGCCCCCTCCGCCCAGCACTGCCCCGTCACCACCCCGGGCTGTCCAGTTGGGCTCGGGGAGTGCTCCTCGCCGAGCTATGCTTGGGTGGTACAAGTTCAAGCCTCCTCTGTTGAAATGCGTGCGCCCTGTTTAGCCAAGAGGTGTCTGCATCCGAGCTATGCAGAGCAAAGTATTATTAGAGCAGGCATCAGTGTGTCTGTAACTGAACCCAGCTCTCCCTAGCAACCGTTGCCAACAACACCTCTAACAGAAG